ACAGTTCTATCAAGTATTGTTTGACTCATTCGTCAGCTGTGATTCTTGACCTCAGTTCATACTATATTTCATCTGTTATTACGTGCCCAATAGGCAGCTTTTTCTCTCTTTATTGGACTTTATGTAATCAGTATTTATTGGTATTGTCGTCGCTAGCGAACACTCCCAAGCCCAAGAGGGACGGCGAAGTGCTCCTAGTGAAAATGCTCTCAGAGCTAGGGAGCAAAAGGATTAAGAAGACAGTTTTGAAGACGGTCCGCGGGACGAGGATTAGATTGGCGGGGTTAAATCTAAGGGATCCCAACCCCGCCCAAAACAAGACTCATGGATATAAAACCGGGCTAAAGAACCGGGGGAACAGTCTTCCAGAGCGATCTTTGACTAATGATTTTGTTATGTTTTAATTTTTATTTTTAACCTATGATTTTGCCTTAATGTTTTAATGTTCTATCCGATATAACCCGTTTTAATGATTCTGTAACTAAAGATTAAATTACCCAAGTTTGAGGTTTGACGTTCGATTCTGTACTAACTTATCTGTGCTCTTGAAATAAAGTAATTGAAAAACCAGGACCCGCGTGGCAGCTACAAAGACGAGACTTCAAGAAGAAGAGAATCAACATAGACCAGTAGGAATTTTATTTATAGGTATATTTCTGAATGTTTGACAAGTGTCACCAAAAATTTCCTCTTTGTAGATTATAAAGGTGAAGTAAGAATAAAAGGATTAAGTATAAGACAAGGCTCCAACATAAGAAAATCTCGTCTGAGAAGGTACGTAAAACGTCGAAGTTAAGTTGATTGGAGACAGATAAGTCGGAGATCTCAAGTAGTAGATACAGTCCATCAAACTACAGTCCGTATTAGTTGGTAGCTGTGATTCGTAAGTGGCTAATCACAGTCACAATTAATCAAGTGTATTACGAGAAGGACTCACGTAAGGTGTGTAGGGGGGTCTACTGTGCTGGTATTCTCTCAACCTAGGAAAGTGTTGGTTTAGCCACAACACAAACAAAGCACTTCTGAAGCTCAAACAATATCGTAACTGTAGATTCTTCGTGCTTTATTTTCTATAAAACAAGAAGAATTTCTTTTTTGGGAGGCCGAAGGGCAGATTTCAGAAGAGAACTTTTTTTATTATTATATTTTGTTAACCATTATAAAAATTGGAATCGGAATTGTTAACTTTTAAGTGGTAACATTTTTGATTATTATTCGGTACCTATATACCAAACAGTTGCTATTAAGTTCTGTTCTAAATAATCAAATCTGTCTGTAATTCTTCAAGTGGGGTCCTTTCAAAGGTGAGTAAGCTGAAAGTTGTGAGTTTTGTGCTTTCCAAGTTAGAATAGTTTTAATGTCTACCAGTTTTTTCTAGTTGTCTTGTCTCTCTTGTTCTCTTATTATCTCTCAACTTTCAATAAGTACTGGCGCAAGATAAACAGATCAATATTGTTCTACATTTGCATCTTTCTTTCTTGGAAAAGAACCATTATTACTGTTTTGGAAGTATAAGTTTTTCTTATAGAACAAAGACACTTGTCTTATTGTTTCTCTCTCTACCTGTATATAAGTAGTCATTGCAGTACAATTAGATTACGGTCATATTACAGCATTTCGATAAAAGAGAAATTAACTGTAATAAGAGGGTCTAGTTAAGCCGAAATTTAACCCAAACTAATGTTACTGTAGAACTTATAAGTTTTGCTACAGCAGGTTATCGCCGAAATGAGCGATATATAATAACGAGTGGAAGTAGGGGGTACAGCGATCTTATTAGTCACTTTACCATCAGTCATTGTAGCTTCTTTTTATGCTCATAACCTTTGAATGTTTATCTTTTTGTAAACCTAGTAAAATAATGCGTATTGTTGTTAATTTATATTTCTTTATGTATTCAGTTGAGGTTTAATTACCCAAGTTTGAGGTTTGTACGTAACGTGTGCTACGGAAAAATAAAATATCCTATTATTACCTGAAAGTCCCGCGTGGCAGTTCAGAATCATATTACAGTACTTCTTCTTTATAGAAACAAAAGATGATTTGGAAAAGGGAGAAAAACAGGCGACAGAAGAATATCTTACGAAGCGACTCTAACATAACAAAGAAAAGTTCTGAGAACATTTTGCAATGAAGAAAGTTTTAAACTCCCGCCACCCCAAGGTAATTTCCGGAACTGTGGCGATAGTATCAGCATTCGCAGAATAATTTAGAGAACAAAATTGCCATGTGAAGATATGTCGATAAAGCTGGCTTGGTTACCCACTTGAATTTTTTAAGCCTTAATTTACAATACCCGGCAATAGGCAAATTATTTTTGACGGGTGGTATGAAGCAACTTCCCCCAAATACGGGATCGCTACCAGGAAGGATAGTATTTGTCGGATATGAGAGTTGCATCGATAAGCTGACGAGTCTCAAGTCGATTATTTTGATTACGCTGAAACAATCTTCATCCCACGTTAACACAAGTCGTTTCTAGAGTTCTCCACAATTCAAACCTTATTCCCATACCAACCAATCAAGAAAGGACATTGTGGAAACAGATGGAGTTCTCCTACCCATACAGTGAGATACCATTATTATTTTTAGATGTTTCCGGAGAAGAATTCCGTACGCTAGGAATTACTTTCAATTTTCGAGGTAGACCGGAATAATCGAAAGTTTTGTCTAAAGTATAATGCAATATTACTGAAAGAAAGAAGTTACATTATTATGCATTGCGAGTACTGATAATTCGTTTCTGTTGAGCCTGCTTTATGGCGGTCCGCCGTTGGGATGTTTAGGAGGAGATAATTGTCTTTGGTGTTTTAAATTTTTATATGAATTTAGGCAAATAGCTGAGATCAAGTACATGTTCATGCTGAATTTGCTCAATAGCTTTAATTTTAATGTCTGTCCGCGGATTGCCCTCTAATTACGTTGCGCTCTCCCCTGCAACGCTGTGATTTCAGTACTGCTTGGCAGATTTCTAACTTGCAGTTCGTAGCGTTTTTAGCTTTGTAACTCCATCGTGGCTTCCTACTGCAGTAGGTCTACAGTGCTCAGTTCGTCAATAGTCTTTGATTTGGTTGATTGAAGGAATTTGAATGACACCAATTTTAGAAGCATGTAGGAGCTACTTCCTTGTACTATGGTTTTTTCTGAGTTTACTCCCAAAGTATGGAGTGGGGGCATCCTACTTGGGCTTTCGAGTCTTACGCGTTATGTCTTTTTTGGAACAGGCAATTTCCGTTGTAGGTTTGATCCCTCTCATATTTTTCCTTTAGGTTTTGAAAACTGGAGGTGCTGCGATCTGTCACGTTGAGAACTCGTTGCCTCTGTGAAGTGTTCAGGCTGGGTTCGGTGGAAAAATCTCTCTGGAATTTGAGCGACACGAAGCTTAATTTAATTGAATGAAATCCTTTACACTATGTCACAAGTCACAGGTAAGATATACACACTACATGTTAAACGACCAAAAAAGCACTTGAGAACTCTTAAACTTCATTACCGTCAAGTAACCGCCAGCGTACGGCATCAATTAAGTACGCCTTCACGAACTGAATTCGTTTACTTTCGCAGGTTTAATGGTTGTATGAGATACCTATATTCATCAAAATAACTGGTAAACTTCTCAGTAAAGTAATGATTAGTGACCAAAAGATAACTAAAGAAGAAACACACCTCACTTGCAAAAACCAAAGAGCGCATTGTTTCACCGAAAGACTGACAGTGTGGACTAAGCGTGACCACCAAAAATGTTTTAGAGTCTGCTGCTCCTAAGCAGCTCGAAAGCGCCATCGTCAATTTACTGTCGCGGTAGCGAATTATTGGTTCCTAAAGGTATTTCATTACGGGTGAATTTACGTCATTTAAAATGCACCACATTTTCATCCCATCTGTTTGTTGGAACTGGTTAGTAAAGAGTTTGTAAAAAAAATCCAACCGAACCTTTTTCCGCTGGTCGCGAAGTACACTACGCAAACTAAGCAGCGATTGGTTTATGTGTTTGGCTTCTTTCATTCGTGTACCTACCGCCCGCAAATTTTCTACACGTTCAGAGCCGGCGAGGTCCGCAAACATCAGGACAGATGACCGTCGTTTATCTGAAAATAAACTCAACGTAAATGTAAAACTTTTGCTGGTTAGAGCACTGTCCATATCAAAAATTAATACCGCTTACGTTGATTAAGATTTTCAGCAAAAATTTTTATGCAGAGAATACAATGACTGCGAGAGGATCTACTGTTAAGAGCAGTACTCGTTGTGATACGATGGTCGGAGATAAATTGAATTATATCCAAGCCCTGGAAAAATCTAATGTAAGAAGTTCTACATCTGACTTAACTCTTAAGGAGCAGATAAAAAGTAGCATTTAACTTTTACAGAAAAACAGAACAAACATGTTGTGCTGACGTCACTAGCACTTTCTGGAAGCATGAATCATCAAGTAAACCGTTCGAAAAGCGAGGCGCACAGATTCGCTTGTGATTGAGCAGGTCGTAGAAATTTTCATTGTAAATTTCGTAACAAAATATAGAAATGGAGAACTAAATCAAAAATATAAATTTTCTCCACAGTCCTATCAAGAAAGCAAATGTTCCAAAACTTCAGCATATGCAAAAATACGTACCTTCCAACTATTTGCTCTTGAGGAGTCTTGCAAGCGGAACAGGAAGGTCAGAGTTTGTGGAAGAATCCCCAAATCGCTTCTGTTACCAAGCATAGTGAAAGTCTTGCCTGATCCACTTTCGCCGTAGAACAGAACCGAAACATTGTAACCATCCATTGCGCTCTACAAAATGCTGTTAAATTACAGTAAACGTAAGCCGTGACGAATAAGTACGGTACAAGAGATTTGACTAAAAATTGTAGCTGTTCTCTACTTAATGGTTTGCAGAGTTACTGTTACATTTTATGAAGTGAACCTGGATGAAGTCCCTCATGTCGTTAAATATTGTGCGGTTATCTATTTCAGCTTTCCAGAGACATGCAATAGTCCCACGAATCACTTTGCCCTAGAAAAAACGACATTATAATTCGAGTCAGGTCTGTCATTAAGGAATTAGTGGAAGCCAAACTGCGATAATGATCCCGTCATTTCCAATTTCTATTGCTTCAACCTTCTCGTTTGATTTCTCTCCTGGTAAAGGGAGCCTAATTCTCAGACCAACACGTATATTACCCTAGAATCAACAGTAAAAGATTGTCTAATTTACAGTTGAGTAGTTTTACCTTTAGATCAACAATCTCGTTGAACAATGTTCGGCTTTCTTCTTCCAGGACAGTTATTTCCAAATTAATTGTTTGTACCTCGTTTCTGACGTTGTCAAACCTCTCTGTTGCGTCCTCCATTTCTTTGATGAGTACGGAAAACTGCTGTTTAGTTTCTTGTTCTCTTGACAATGCGTCACCTTTCTTCTTTCTAAGAGTTTCAGTTTGATCCCGATAATGGCCAATCTTTTTTTGCAACTAAAGATTATAAACTCTATGGCTAGCAAAAATGACCAAACTATTGTCTAAACCCTGATTCAAAAAAACCAAAAACTAGATGGAATAAGAAGAATGTTAGGTGGACATAAAAGGCATATGAAACCAAAATACCTCAGTTATTTCGCTTATTAATTGTTCTTTTAAACTGCATACTGTAGAAACCCTGGCAGTTCTGAACGGTTTACAAGCACAGACAACATCTGCAACAAAGGTAAAACAATCTGTCTCTAGCAAATTAATAAAAAGAGTTGTTTAAATAAAATGGCACTTGATACACTATTAATAAATCAACTGAAAACAATCAATTCCTAGATCAGCATAGTGCATATTGCTTTACGATGACACAAAAAAACAAGATTCATCTTCTTTCAAACCTTCAGATCAAGCTCAACAGATGGTTACTCACGTGTAAATGACGCGTGACAATCAGTCAAATTTTGACGCTCATTCAACTTTTTCCTGTTTTGGATTGGTGACATCATGAAAGAATGATAAGAATGTTGACAACTGGTTCTGAGCAGAACTGAAGATACTCAACTCGTCTTTCTAAACAGCAGCAAGTACTTCTAGTTGTGTAGTCACTTTTCTAGTCCCTCTAAGAACTTTCTCTGGAGGCAATTAGTGACCCTACACTATATTTTGCTGTTTCATACATAGCCCCCACACTTTGAAAAAATGCAAGTTTTAAATTGGAACCTCGACCCTTTGCTTAGTATGATCCACGATTGATCTCAAAATCGTTTCAAAACAGAGTAACCCCGTTTCACAATACCGCTCTTAAGAAGTTTGAGTATGAATAAATAAATGAATAAATAAATATATAAGTTTACCAACAATTTCATGCCAGGTGGCAGACTTCCACTAAATATCTCAGAATTTTTTTAGACTGCTAAGCAGTAAACTCCAAACCAGTATACATAAAGCCGAGGAGAAAACCGGTAATAGTGAAATCTCTGCCAACCTAAACTCCTCTGAATTAGAAAATTCACTAGGTTGTTGCTTGGCAAACCTGCCTTTGAAGCTTTGTAATTCAGCAAAGCCTCAAAGAAATCTAGTAATTTTTAGTTTATTGAATCTGCCAATTCTTCTTCTTTCGAAACACTAAAAACGGTGTGAGGAAAAAAAGCTTAATTTTAAATTTTTTGAAAAGAATGTATTTATTGTAGAAGTTTCTACTTTACAACATATCAAAAACTGATGACTGCTTTTTTGGGGACCGAAAATCACTGACCCGAGAGACTGTTAGGCCGAAAAAAAACCACCGTCTTCACAGTAACCCCTACACATTCTGCAGTACTGAAATCGTCTTCGACCGCGAAGAGCGACTGCAAGAGTTCTGTGTGTTTAAACAGTCAAAGATTTTTTTTAAAAATTTTATTTTACTTCAAAATCGTGATAATTTATTATTTTGCAGAGTTGAAGAAAATTGTCTTCATAGTCTTCATCCTAACTCCCGTCTTCTTTCTATCAAATTTATGCAACTAATGCATATCTTGCTGTCTTGAAGAAATCTAAAAACCTACCCCTTTAACCAAATGACTGTTGAATTCAACTTTTTCTTAAAGTTAACTGTCTGGCCAGTTCAGGGAACCATAACACATAGTCAAAGGAAAGGCGATTAGCACTGACTTGCAGAACCGAGAATGTGGCAAGTGGACTACAGATGCAATTCTAAGGACTTAGAAATCCTCTTCTTTGCTGAATTCTTAGACGGCGAAGTAAAACCAGCTTTCTCTTAATTTTGCGTTACATCAAAAATTATGTTTCAATTTCTATAGGTCCACTGCTAATAACAGGAACACTCTTAAATGACAAGAAATTGCTGATCTACATGTTTTGTGTTCCAATAGAAAACAAAACCACTTTATTTTTAATTTATGCAGCAAATTTGGATTAATCAATCGTTAAAAAAATAATCACGAGTTCTATACTAATAGTGGTCTAATGCAGTTGACTTCTTTTTAACTTTTGTCTAAAAAATATTTGCTTTCACTCCGTGAAACTCCACAACAGCGGCTGAAAGAGACTCACACAACAGTCGACTACCCCATTCTTCCAACTTCGTTATATTTGACTGCACTGTCACTCCTAAATAGGCGTAATTTCTATTTTTGAACCCAGGGCCTTATTGTTCTAGGACTAAAAATTCATTAACCTTGAAATAATTCCTATCATTCAGTTCCTTGCAAGGTAAAATTTTATAAACTACTAAAAAACTAACGCTTGCTTGTGAATAAACGACAAAAGGCGTTCTCGAATTCAAATCAAATCTTAACCACAAATTGCTTGAGACATTCTTTTTCCTTTCCTTTTCAGTGACTCCATCAGGATCAAAGACGAAACCGAAGTTACGCGAGCGGAAAGCACCGGCCTCTTTATCATAATTACAAGCGGCTTGATACTATAACCTTTTCAAATTAAAGAGTGTGGTTATCAACATCAATATGTCACTACAAAGACTAAGAGGGAACGAAGTACAAAGTGTAACATAAATGAGAAAATCTAATTTAAAAATCTAGAAAATGAACAGAATCAAAAACACCCGACTTCAGTGCTTTCTGAAACTAATCAATAAACCAGTGAACCTGATACAGAGAACAAAATAAAAATGCCTGACCAGAATGTACTCGTTTTTCCTTACAACTCTGATTGAGGGAAAATCCTCCAGTGGCGCAGCTCTCATTACCGATACCTCAAAGGTAGCTCCTCGTTTACCTGGAGAGCGACAAATAGCACTAAATTTCACCCAAGTTCCATAAGGTTTTTCTCCAAATTCAAAAAAATATTTTTCATCATAATGTATTGGGATAGTGCTATATTCAGGTGCAAATATTCTGCCGTCCTGAATTAAAAATCCGTAAATGTCGGACAAAACCTGCAAATATCTCGTAATCATCCTAAAACGTCATTTTAAGTCCAGGAACAATAAATATTACAAAAAACAAAGACAGAATAATTTAATCACAGCGCAAAACAAGCTACTCAATGATCATAAAAAGGTAATGAAAAGCATACGATCATTGGTCTCAAGGCCTCCTCAACACTTTGAACTGAACGCTCCGAAATTCCTCGTATTTTGAAACGACAAAACCGGGTTGGGCCATTGTCTTCGACCAGCACTGATATAATTCTTTTTGGTGAATCTCCCAAAAGAAACGGAACAAGCATTTCATTTTCATCCTTGACCACACCGAAACACTTTTCCTTTGTCCAAAAATATCCAAAAGGAAGGCTATCGTCAGCTTTGATTGGAACTTCAAACTGAAAACTGCATTTATTTCCCCGCATAAAATCCATCTTTCATTTTCTTAATGTTTGTGTGGTAAGTCATTTTAAAATAAAAAGTTGACACAGGGTTGAATTGAGAAATATGAAGAACAAAAGAACAAATTCGGAAAATCCGGGAACTTACGAAACGATCACTTCCAGCCTCACTTAACCGGTAACCGACTTTTAACGACATCTTTGCGCAACAGTATCTCCTTACTACATACATACTTAAATTTGTGTTATACACCGCATCAAACTCAATATGACTTCCCAATTCAATGTTTATCTGTGGGTCAAGGTATGCAATAACTATAAGATAATCAGCAAAACCTTGAGAAAACAAAGTCCGTTCTCCACTGAGGATACCAACTCCGTCAAATATTTCCTGAAAATGTTATCCCGCCTTCAATAATGTTATATTTGACTCAAAATAGAAATATCTTGTATCTGAGGAACACCAAAACAATAACCCTTCTGATTAAAATTGCTGAATAAACGATCAGCAGTGTTTGAATAGCCAACCAGACCACTTTTATTTGAACCTAGTTCTTAACTCACTTGAAACCTTCAAATTACAATCAAAAGCAAAAAATGAGTTTAAAAGCAGCTCCTCGACAGCTAAAACTTATGTATCAAAACACTTTTCAGGCATCTCGTGAGGTGAGCACTTTTCCACACGCTTCTTAACAAGCGAAAAGAGTTCTGGAATGTATGTACTGAGCTAGGAGGAAGAAGTAACCGTAATTAGCTTCTGGCTGCGGATTACAAATTTCCAAAGAGTCTTTAGATAAAACCAACACTACGGGAAGGAAAAAAATTTCAGCAATTTTTCTTTGAACAGTAGACAGGTAGCTCATATATCAGAAAATCTAAGGAAATTAACTTATGGCAAAACATGAGAATTGACTGACAATGAGAAAAACGACTAGGCGTAATCCACTAATTTTCAATTGCTTCTCACCAAAACTCTTCCTTTTTTAATGATTCGTTCAATTTTGATGAGTGTTTTAACGCTGGGTAGTGCAAACTGTGACGGAAAAAATGGAAAAACAACGCTCTTTGTTGAATGCAAACTACCGTTTCAATTATCATAAAAAACTGTACTGACGCTTCAAGTCCCTTCCCTATTTACCATAGATCTCATGTCCAAATTTCTGTACTTCACCAAGCGCCAATAACTTTCGCACAATCAAGCGTACAAGGCATCGACCAAAAAGGTCTCAAGACAATCGTTAACTTTTGTAATACATGTTTCGAAGGGTTAAGATGCAAAAAGAGAGAAGAAGGGAACACAGCAGCTGCTCTCATGGTCCTTACTACACGCAACGACATTCAGCCTAGAATTTGGTATGCTCATCGCAAGCGTAAAACAACTTCCTTTGTACTGTACAGTCTCAGGTTTACAATTAATCTAGAAATAAAATCAAGTCGCAGAAAACTTATTGGCATGGCCTTGTAAAAGTCCAATTTTCCGAAAAATTTATCAAGTATAAAAACAGTAGGTACTCACAGAGAGGAAGGGACGTATCAGGAATGCAAGGTCAATAGGTGACTTATCAACAGGGCGTCGATGAAGAGTAAGGTTTCCGGTTTCTCAATGATTACTAGTAAAGAATTATATTTAAACAAACATAGTTATGTATCTCTCCTTTCTGAAGAACACTAAGGCAACAAAAGTTGAAAACCCACTCCTCTAGCGTCGTAAATCA